TTTAATTCCGAGGCAAATTTGATTAATTATAAACTAATTATTATAAAATATAAAAAATATAATAATTGATTTAAATATTGTTAAATCATTAATAATTAATAATATGATTAATAATTAAATGATGGAATAGTTAATTTTAAGTAATTAATAAAAAAAAATAAAACTAATCGATTACACTGTATGCAACCAAATGCACGCATACTAAATAAATGAGTAAATATGAAAGGACAATATATCTATATCAGTGATTGATATTTCATAATTCGGTGGCAATCGCAAGCCCGACAACTGAAATCCCGTCTATCGAAATCCCGACTATATCGAAATCCCAACTATATCGAAATACCGTCTATAGAAATCATGACTATGTCTCGAAAGACCGTCTATTGAAATCCCGACGTTCGAAATCCCGACTATATCAAAATCCAGACTATATCAAAATCCAGACTAAATCAAAATCCCGACTATATCGAAATCCAGACTATATCAAAATCCCGACTATATCAAAATCCGGACTATATCAAAATCCCAACTATATCGAAATACCGTCTATCAGAATTCCAACTATATCGAAATTCCAACTATATCGAAATCTGGACTATGTCAAAATTCCGACTATATTGAAGTCCCGACTATATCAAAATCTTGACTATATCAAAATCCCACAGTGTCTTTTATTATTATAAATTTCTACAATAACATTTTTATGGTAGTCGGGATTTTGACATAGTCGGGATTTCAAGCGTCGGGACTTTAATACAGTCGGGCTTTCAATAGACGGGATTTCGATATAGTCGGGATTTCGATATAGTCGGGATTTTGATATAGTCGGGACTTCAATATAGTCGGAATTTTGACATAGTCCAGATTTCGATATAGTCGATATTTTGATATAGTTTGGATTTCGATATAGTCGGGATTTTGGTATAGTCTGAATTATGGTAGTCGAGATTTTGACATAGTCTGGATTTCGATATAGTCGGTATTTTGATATAGTCTGGATTTCGATATAGTCTGGATTTTCATATAGTCTGGATTTCGATATAGTCGGGATTTTTGTATAGTCTGAATTATGGTAGTCGAGATTTTGACATAGTCCGGATTTCGATATAGTCGGGATTTTGATATAGTCGGGATTTCGATATAGTCTGGATTTTGATATAGTCTGGATTTTCATATAGTCTGGATTTTGATATAGTTTGGATTTTCATATAGTCTGGATTTCGATATAGTCGGGATTTTGATATAGTCGGGATTTTAAGCGTCGGGACTTTAATACAGTCGGGATTTCGAACGTCAGGATTTCAATAGTCGGTCTTTCGATTATCGGGCTTGCGACAATACGCAAGACCTTACGTAATGATATATTTCCAATAAAATATATTACTTTAAAAATTTATATTTGAAATTTAAAGTTTTCTAATGTTAATAAAAAATTCCGCCAGATAACGCTCTTACAGAAATTCCAATTGATTGTAGCCAAATTATGTTTACTTAACAAATCCCTTAAATGAAGCTAATAAAGCAATTAATAATTTATAAATAATTTTATGGTTTTAAACAAACAAATATTGATAATTGTACAAAACCTAAATTATTGCAGCGCCAAAAGTGGTGAACTAAAAACTTCAATATGTTGCTAATAGATGGAATTAAAACAAAATTGATGAACTTTAAATTAAAGATGAAGAAAGATTTCTTTAATTAATTATTTCTTTTTGTTTTATACATATTATTACTAATATTAGTGCGTTTCTTCAATTCCTATAGATGTAAACTAAGTTGCACACCTCCACACGGTATGCAACTTAGTTTACATGTGTTTAAGTTTGTTGATAATTTAAAAAAATAATTAATTACTAATTAAATGCTAATTAAAACCATATTACTTAATAATTAAAATAATTAATTGTTGTCTGCAGTTCAAAATTGTTAATTGTTAATGTAATAATTTAAATAAATCAATGGTTTTTCTAAAAGTTCGATTTGTGTTTGATTTTTAAACTAATTAATGAATCTAAACTGTAATTAATTCTTTGAATTTAATGATTATTCATGTATTAATTTACATTGAAATAAATTCAAAAATTGGCGGGCGTTTATTTTCTAGTTCGTAATTGCGCCGCTACCAAGCCGTTGGCAGACCTGGCGCGACGACGACCTTAGTTTTTCTTCTTTGGTCTCGTACCAACAAACATGGTAGGTGCATCGGCGTCTCGTCCGAAAAAAAATCTTTGTTTATCCCATCAATCATGCGTTTTCGCAACGCGAGAATCGCGAAAAACCGTAGCAAGAGTCCAGAAAAGTGCGATCCCGCAGAAAGTGCCACCCGATTCCCATAGTTTCGGTGCGAAAACCGCAGAAAATTAACCTTTTTTTTTTAAGGTTATGAGCGGACGTGTTTGTTTATAGAGTTTCTCTCGCTGCAAGCAAGATGGTAACGAAAAAAAAAAATAAATAGATAATCACTTTTCCGGACTCTTCTATACATTTTGCTCACTCATTTCATAACATATTTTGTAATTTCGTTCATATAATCATTTGCTTGTTATTTTGTGTATACTCTGAATGTGCAAGATTTGTCTCTGTGTTACTCGTGTGAGAAATCAATTCTCATCTGAGCGTCAACCGAGACATAAATTGAATTGCCTAAATATCCACAAGCTCTAGAACTTATAAAACCATTTCTAGGAGCTTACTAAAGTTAGGAGACATTATTGCACATTCGGAGTACTCAATTTCTTCTGTATCGAGGAAGTTTACTGATCTGTTGTTTGTGTGTGGTTTTTTTAGACGAAAGGTACTTCCAGCTTTGGTAAGCGCCGCAATAAGACACATACCTTGTGTCGCAGGTGCGGCAGGTCTTCCTACCACATCCAAAAGTCAACATGCTCCCAATGCGGATACCCAGCTGCTAAGATGCGTTCTTGTAAGTATTACACATTTCTATCGTACACAATAACAACATCTTACAATGTGTGTTTATAAATGAACATAGATCTTTTGCTTATAATTGATGAAATATTCAACCGAGAGTTGAAACAACAACTTGCAGATAATATTTCATTACTAAGTAAACTCCAAATAGTATTTCTCGTGTTACTGTTAAGAATCTAGCATTGATTATCTGAACATTCAATTAAGTATTGAATGTTTCTTTATAATCAATTATTAATAATTAGTTGAATTCTTATAATAATTGATTCAATCAATTTAAATAAGCTTCAAATATGATTATAACTTGAGTACTAAATGGAGTTTTAGTTAATCTTAATTGATGAATCGAAAAGACACAATTCAATTTGTTTTACCACTTATTACAAAATTCTTAATAATAATAACTCTCTGTCTCTGTGTTACTTGACTATGAAATTAATTCTTAGTTGAGCGTCAACCGAGACATACATCAAATGTCCCAACTATCCACAAGCACTGAAAATAAGAAAGCCATTTTCTTTAGCTTACTAATGTTGGGAAACATTCTCTCATTGTTTCAAAGATTCCTGATCACAACATCAAGAATGCTATTTGCAATATACTAATTTTCTTTCTTTCTTTTTTTAATTAGACAACTGGTCGATCAAGGCTAAGAGGAGGAAGACCACCGGAACCGGCCGTCTGCGTCATCTTAAGCGCGTCCAGAGACGTTTCCGCAACGGATTCCGTGAGGGTACCAAACCTACCCCAGTTCAGCGCAAGACCACAACATAATTGTTAAAAAAATTATTTGTACACACAATAAAAAAAAGTTCATTATAAAGACAACATCTCTTCGTTTCTGTAAGAAATTCTCTCTTTTTTTTTTCTTCTTCGTTTCGTAACATCCTTTCAGTATTTGAATTACTATACGCATCTTTATTTTACTGTTTGTGAAAAGTGTGACTTTCGTTGCAGCAGTGTGTATTTGGTTGCCTATCTACAGGAAAAATGTGTATTTTATATATTAATGTATTCATTTAATTATTAATGAAAATTAAATTAGTTTACTTATTTTTACAATTAATACAGACGCTTTTTATTGCAACAAGAATACCTATACTGAAGAATTTCTTAATATATAAAATTTTACATTTCTTTTTAAATTTAAAGAAATTTATATTTATTATCACAGTTAAAACATATCAATAAGAATATACTGTGGAACCTCGCTTACGAGTTTATTCCAAAATTTCCGGATTTTTACTCGTATAGGTGAAACATATTCAAAAATACACATAATATGTATACACAAGTATTAAAAATGATGTAACAGGGGCGCAATCCGGGATTTCTCATCGTCACTCGTTATGCGAAACGTCGCTCGTTAATCCAGTCATATTTCTTACAATTCATTTTGATCGTTATGCGAGGTTTCACTTATATTGAAATCGAATAAAGTCCTAATTAAGCGTACATTTGGTTGCCTATAATAAATTACAAAGATGTAAAAAAATAATACAAATTAAAGTTCTGTTTCAGGATAAATCACATTACAGGAGATAAATGTGTAAATGTAAAGAAAATTTTATAATTTTCGAACTAATTTATGTGATTCTTAAGAGAGTTCTATGAGATTCCTAAATAAATTCTCTATTCGATCATTTTCAGATAACTTTAAGCTTGTTGTAAGTTGCTGAGAAATGAAAAGTAGCATAAACATTTTAAGGAATTAGTAACTTTTTTTTCCAGAATAAAGTAGTTTTCCATACGCAATAATAAAAATGAGAACGAGTTAAGTAACTTTCGATCAATTCATAAACAAAAACGTCAAGTCAGAAATTGAAACGTTTCTTACTGATTATGCAATTAAATGAGCGAAAAGTTACGTAATTTAAGGAAAATCGTTTTTGTTTTTGTAGTAAAGTGTGATTTTAATAAAATTGAGCGAAATTATCAGGACTAACCAAAATTTAAATATCGATACTAGTGATTTAATTAAGTGAACTATAAATAGTTAACGATTCTTGTTGAATTGTGTAGTTATTCTACGTTTTAATCCTGAAATTAGTATAACAGTAAAACAACTTTTATTACATGGTTGTATCTTCAAAAACGAAGATACTTGGAACAAATTTTGTGTTCATAAATTCATTTTAACTATTTCAAATTTGTAATATGATTCTAAAGTTGCATACTTTCAACATTTTATTTTCAAATTACGAAATTGAGAATTGTTGATTTTGTATTATGTGGTCGATACCTGAGGTCTAACAAAAGTTTGCTTAGTTGGCGTTAGTACATTTGTTTCTGAAAAAGCAAAAGTTGTTTCTCAATTTGTTAAAGTCTAACGATATTTCATGTCAAATTTCAAGGAGACCGGTAAGCATGGATAGGAGAAAATGCAAGATGTAAGAAATTCCACCACCAACACTGTAAAAAATTGTTTCGCCATTCTCTACGTATTTCGAAGTCAACACAAGCCTATGCACATTTACCAGGAACGCCAAAATGCATATCGAGTGAATGCATCATCCCTTATGATTATTTCCAAGGGGTTTCGAAGATTCCAAACCGGGCATTTTTCTATTGATCCAAGATCCAAGATCCAAGAATGACACAGGAAATGGTAGGTCATGAACTGAGCTTGAATGCCATAGCTGTGTCGACATTATTAAAATAAAATTATTTTTTTGTTATTTTTTTTCAGCTAACTAAGCAAACTTTCGTTCTACATTGATTAGAAACTATTCAAATTTGTAATATGATTATAAAGTTGCATACTTTCAACAATTTTATTGTCATAAATTTCAAATTTGAAATTTAGAATTTGATTAAAACTTTGTTTAGTAGTATAGAGTTCATACATTGTTTAGAAACTATTTCAAATTTGTAATATTCTTCTAAAGTTGCATACATTCAACATTTTGTTCATTAATTTCAAATTTGTAATATGATTATAAAGTTGCATACTTTCAACATTTGTTTCATCAATTTCAAATTCGAAATTTGGAAATTGAGAATTGTTGTCTTTGATTAAAACTTTGTTTAGTAGTATGGAGTTCATGCATTGTTTAGAATCTAATTCAAATTTGTAATATGATTATAAAATTGCAAATTTTCAACATTTTTTTCATCAATTTCAAATTCGAAATTTGAAAATTGAGAGTTGTTGACTTTGATTAAAACTTTGTTTAATAGTATGGAGTTCATACATTGTTTAGAAACTATTTCAAATTTGTAATATTCTCTAAAGTTGTAAAGTTTCAACATTTTCTTCATCAATTTCAAATTTGTAATATGATTCTAAAATTGCATACTTTCAACATTTTTTTTTATAAATTTCAAATTTGAAAATTAGAATTTGAGAATTGTTGACTTTGATTAAAACTTTGTTTAATAGTATGGAGTTCATACATTGATTAGAAACTAATTCAAATTTGTAATATGATTATAAAGTTGCATACTTTAATCATTTTTTTCATAGTATGTGGTTCATACATTGATTAGAAACTAATTCAAATTTGTAATATGATTCTAAAGTTGCATACTTTCAACAATTTTTTCATCAATTTCAAATTTGAAATTTAAAAATTGAGTGTTGTTGATTTTGATTGAAACCCTTTTTTTTATATTATGGAGTTCATACATTGATTTGAAACTATGCACATTTGTAATATGATTCTAAAGTTGTAAAATTTCAACATATTGTTCATCAATTTCAAATTTGTAATATGATTCTAATATTGCATACTTTCAACATTTTTTTTTTATCAATTTCAAATTCAAAATTTGGAAATTGAGATTTGTTGACTTTGATTAAAACTTTGATTAGTAGTATGAAGTTCATACATTGATTAGAATCTAATTCAAATTTGTAAAATGATTATAAAGTTGCAAACTTTCAACATTTTTTTCATCAATTTCAAATTCGAAATTTGGAATTTGAGAATTGTTGACTTTGATTAAAACTTTGTTTAGTAGTATGGATTTCATACATTGTTTAGAAACTATTTCAAATTTGTAATATTTTTCTAAAGTTGTAAAATTTCAACATTTTCTTCATCAATTTCAAATTTGTAATATGATTCAATAGGAGACATTGAGAGTAGTTGAATTCGTTTGAAATAGTTTCGATCAAAAATTGAAAATAGTGCGTGTGTAAGGAGGGTGGAATGCGAAGATTTTTCGCGTTTCTTATTTATGTGTGCGTGTGTGTATGTGTGTTAGAGACGTGATTCGGGAGGACTAAAAATAAAAACCTTTCCACGGCGTCTCAGTATAAACATGTAGCATGTAGATGTAGATAGAGAAGGAGAGGAGGATAGTAAGCGGGAACGGAAAAGAGAGACGGAGACGTGGAGGAGGAGAGCGAGTCGTGAAAATGGACCGAGTGAAAAGCCCGTGGATTCAGTTCGAAACGGACATCATTTTCACGTGAACCGTACGAAATGCGGTCGGAGCGGTCGTCCTTAATAATCCGTGCGTGCGTGCGCTAATCCCACCTGGATTTGGAGATAAGAGACGCTGAGCTGAGCTGAGCAGGACTAATCCGCATATAATCGTTTGTTAACAACAATAACACCAGTCGTCGTGGTGATGATATACACACGTCTCTATGACGACGACAACGACGACGATGATGATGATCGCGACGTTGAGTAGAATCGAAATGTTGTGATATCATCACGTTCAAGATCATCATCGCATATCATATTATTTTTATACTGATACATATGTAGAAGCATAAGCAGCAGCAGCAATAGTAGTTCCACTTTACACGCATTTTCGCAGTCCCTCAGTTTTTTTCTCTCTTTTTCGAATCCGTGTATTCGCTATAATTAGAGCGCGCTCCTCTCAAATATTATTGATATTCAGAACTCTCTCTCTCTCCGTGTGTGTATATGTGTGTGTGCGCGCCCCTCATGTGTCTGTGAATGTGACTCCTTTTCTAGGATAATGCGGACAAGTTTGCTGTTTAATCACTGAACATACGTTTTCAAACGGATAAAAAACGGAACAAAAAAAAGTTGAGCGTCAAGATGATGTTCACCGGAGGATCGCACAACAAGAAGAGGAGCAGCAGTAGCAACAATGGACAGAGAACTAGGAGCAACAGATCGAGCAATTCGGATGCGGTAAATTTTCGTTACTTCTTTCGCTCATTCAAAATCTATCTATTAACTAATTACTAAAAACAGAATCAATATAAGTTTAACGTCCACATTCTAGCAGTTTTAAGACGAATAGTTTAGAATTTGATGACTTTAGACAAAAGAAATCTTTGAAATACTGCCTTATCTTTAATGTAGATGTTGCAATTAGTGTTCGCATTCATTAATAATCACAATAATCTTCAATAAAAGGTGAAAACGTGATATGATATGAACCTGGGACATCTGTTTTTTTTTTAACGAAATACTAAAATATATAGAAAAATGTTATATTTTTCAAGTCAAAATTTCAAAAATACGAAATCACTACATCTACGTAGATAATTCATATTTTAGGTTTATGTAATTAGAAAAATGTAATAATTAATTGATAAAGGTTGTCCCAAAATTAACGCAAGATTTGAATTTCCCGCCATTTGTATTTTATGATTCAATAAAAAATCAAATAACAATCTGAAAACTAAAAACTGTGTTTTCTATTTAATTCAAATCTTGCGTTAATTTTGGGACACTCTTTACATCTATGCAACCAAATATACTTAGATGATAAAATATTTAAAAAAAAATCAAATTTGAAAAGCATACTATTAGAAAATGGTTAAAATGCAAATATTTTACAAACAATATTTGTATATTTAAACATCAATGTTTATGTAGTTATCAAATATTTACAGT